AAGTGCACAAGCGTGCACTTGGCCCTCTCGCCATGTGGACTGCAGAGTTTGAGAATGATCCTTCATTAGGTATTATGGAGAAGTGCTATGCCAGATTAGAAGCTAACAGTGCGTTTATTGTTTGTCGTCATACATACGTTCTACCCTAATCGCGCTCCTTTTCGTTGTTCAGACTACAAATTTGAAACACCGAATGAACCTCTCCCCCCGCTGTTGACGATGAGGTTCGTCTGCGAGAGGAAGAGGAACTCCAACGTGCTCTGGAAATGTAATTGAATGATCGGGGTGGTCGCAATGGTTACACTGGTTCTGGTGTTGTGTCTAGTGCAGGCCGGACGCACCCGTCAGGATACGTCCCAGCAAAGTCACCTCCCGCAGCAGTGTCTTCCAATTCTTCTCTCCCTGCACAGACTTCACTTGCACCATCTGCAGCTCCTGCTGCCTCAACACCGGTTGTGACACGCGTCCACGCACCACATACTTTCGAGGCAACAGAACCTGGGGAACTTGATTTCGAACGGGGCGACGTCATCCGTGTGGTTGACCGCGCTTACAGGGACTGGTGGCGTGGACAGCTGCGCGGACGAACCGGTATCTTCCCGGTGAATTATGTGGTATGTAGATTTCCCTTTATGCCTCTACTTGCTGCAGGGTTCTGACATTCAATTACCGTATAGGACCTCTCCCCGAGCTTACTGCGGCCGAACTAGCTCGAGAAGCCGAATAAGAAGCCGCGATATTTGCACAAGCTGCAAATGTCGATTGGCTACTCGCTCACCTACTGCTGGCATTGCTCAAGTGTCAACACCAGTGGTTCCCTGGCATGACACTGGGACTGGATGTGTGGAGGTTGAGGTAAGGAGAGCCTTGCAACTAGGTTGCTCATGTCATTGAGCTGTTGGCAGATCTCCCTTACATCTGTTGATAGTGAGCACAAGGCTTCTTTCACTTCCCTCACAGTCATGTGCAGTGATGCCACATCAGCTGTTATTGATGCATGAGCCATGCTGAGCACCTTGGTGGATGCTGGTTGGATGAGCACAGCTTTGCCTGCAAGTGAATGATCACCTTCATGAGGGACTGGTTGCAGTGTGTTGCTGTGGCCATTTTCATAACAATTCAGCTCATCAAGAAGGTAACACATAAGTGTGTTGTGCTGTGTAGTGGTGTGAAGCAAAAGGCAAGGAGTCAGTTGTTTGCTACATACCCAGATAGGAAGGAAGAGTCACATGCTCACCTTCTGCCCACCTGCCTCACCACCAGACCTGTGCAAGGGTCCATTGCTGCCCCACTGGTGTGAACATGAAGCAGTACTGTGCTCCACCACAATGGTAGCAATGCATTGTGAACATTCTGGGAATTCTGGACCTCACCACTGCCTTGTCGATCCATTTTTGGATTGTGTCATGGGAAAGTGGCTCACCTGGCTGCAGCATGTCATTTGTTCCAATTGTGTGGAAAAGGAAATCCTCTTCAGTCATTGGCTGGCCAAGATGGATGAGTTTGACCCATTTCATCCAGGACATGAGGTGCAGGAGGGCATCACATACCTTGCCCATATCTGGGCATGGATAAACCTTGTAGTGATTGCCTAGTAAGTACCAATGCAAGAGATCAGATAGAATGATATGCAAAGATGGATATAAAGACAGACTTTGTAGGTCAGCTTCCCTCATCCCCTTATCCAACTTTCTCTGCCATCCCTTATGGTTTTTCAGGTGGATCTTGAAGTAAGTGTTGTGCTCATTAATGGTGAGAGAGAGTTCCTTGCCTTGGAGATATTTCATGAACATGCCATCTATGACAGTCATGTCAAGCTTGACATCCCTGCATTTCAACTTCAGGAGCTCATAGTTCCTGTCATAATTCACAATTGAAAACATTGTTGGTCAAACCACCTGCCAGTACTTACCTTGTCCAAAGTGTAAATGCAATTGTGCTAAAAGCAAGGTGTTTGAAGTGCTGTGTGACTGTTAGCTTCACTTTCCTGTTCAAGGACTTGCCCAATGGCAGTGCTTTGTAGCCTATCATTGTGAGATGAATGTATTGGAGCAGGGTATCAAGTGGACAAAGTGATTCCAACCAGGCAAGTATCTTATCCATGTATTTCTTCTTCATGGCACCCAAGTGCCTCCATTCAGTGCCTTTGGAACTAACCTTGTGTCTGATAGATGCCATGACATCATCAACTTCTGCTGACAAAACTGGGTTGCCCTCCCATCAATGATGGGCATCATTGTGATGCCATTTCCCATGGAATGTCACACTGTCACTATGCCAAAGGTATTAGTCTATGAGCATCAAGGAAAACTGAGCAATCATGCCATGCATGCTTCCTCCCACAACATCTTGAATCCTGCTTGAGAACTCCATCAATAGTACTTTGGCTGCTATTCTCCTGGAAGCCTCTCCAAGAAAGGTAAAGAGCTAATGCTTTATCTGAGGACCTATTTGGCACATGCTGTCACACACCAAAGGTGTTTGGTGAGGTGGACATGGATACAGCTGATGAATGGAGATGAAGACCATAGCCCTCATGTGAAGAAGGACAGCCAGAAATGTCAGCAGTCATCCCTCACACAAGAATGAGTCATCAGTGCCAAAGAAAAAGAAAGGGAGTGAGTTAAGCACTGGTTAAAATTCTTAAGCACCCATGTATGGCATTCCAGTTTTTGACATATCTCTGCTGTTTCTGCAGATACTGAGACCATTCCCACACTCCCTTGTAGTGCTCAGCCACATGATCCTACCTTCCAAAATTGGAAAGGATTTGCACACTCCACACATTTCTACAGCACTCCCTCCAAAAGACACTCATTTCACTAATTCTTCTGATATGGCTGCCTCCACATCAATCATTTCACTTGTCCCCTTTTCTAGGGACCATGGCTACATATATCTACCAGGAGTTCCTACCAGCTTCTGTCCTGAAGCATCCTGGTATGTCCCACCCTCATCTGTGCCCTCTCAGCCCATCCAGCTTGGACAGCATGTTCTTTTTGTCAGTATGACCTCTAGGAGGATGTTCTTTGGTTGCCTCAGGTCTGTCATTTGCTTGGAAAGGTCTTATGTGGTTGTTTCAGTCTCTCCAGTCCAAGAAGCATATGGATCCTTCCTCCCTGCTCCCTGCAATGTCTTCATACCAGTCTTGTCCATCATTCTTCCAAGATTGCAACAGCTACAGTATAATCTACTGTTCTCCACTCTCTCTGATCACATCCATGACAAGTATGATGCACATCTTGCCTCCTTGTTGCAAGATACAGCAGAAGACACTCCCTCTTCATCCTCTCTTCCAACAGAGCCTCATTCATGAAGTTTTTATTTGCTTCACTGAGAGGATGGTTTGGGGGGGAAAGTTGTGATCCCCTATGCTCCTGTCACCCCACAGACCCCCAAAGCTTGACCCCTGTTGACATCTGACTCACCCTGTCCACTTTTGGATGTACTATATCGGCATCAGATCAGTGCTGCCTCTCTGTCATCCCACCTTGGCCTAGAAGCGATCTCTTTGAGATGTGACATGCACAGCCTCCCCCTAATGTGATTCCAGTGTGCTTTCCCAGTTCCTGACATTACTTGACTCATACTTTGACATTCTGACTGTCTTTGACTCACCTATTGCAAATACTTACCAATCTTTTGACTTTGCTTACTGATTCTTCACTTTTTGGCTTGCTAATCCTTACCAATGCTTACCAATGCTTTCCAAGATGATTACCCATTGCTTACATTCCTTACTCATCGGTTACCAATCACTTACCAAGTGTTTGCACCTTGTTTTCCATAGGCAACACCCCTGTACTGTATATAAATCACTGTACTTAGATAGCTAAAAAAGGAAGAAGACATCAGAGAGCCCCACTTGCTCACATTTTATCATCACTCAGTAATTCATTCAGCAGCTTTGATAGTTGAGACTTTATTAAGGGTCTAACTATTGTCTACTTTGCTTATCCTTGTCTATCATCAATATACATCACTCCAAGCCCTCCCTGAGCTCAGTGCAGCTCAGAGCATCAAATTAAGTTGTCATCCATCCTTCTGTAGGCTGACAGCAGTCTACCCTATCACATTCTTTTGCATTCCTGCTCCTTCTTCATCAGGAGCACCCCCAACCCTCAGCACTCATCTTTGAGTGTTATAGCTTGCAAAAACCCTCCCAAAGAACAGGTTCTACCATCTAGGTACTGCATAGGCACACCACCACTCACTCTTTTTGTCTTTTGTGTTGGTTTTGGTTGGTTTTCACCACTGAACCACACTTTGACTCACAATGCTCAAATGCATTCTTAAAATTTGGATCACTGTAGATTTCAGAGTCATCTCTGGTGTGACTCAGAGTCAGTGGCATCCCCTCCTCTGGAAAATGGCTCTGCAGCCATGAGCATGCTTGGTGGATCTGTCCCAAGTATGCTGCCCTCATCTTTGCTGCCTGGAGGTGAGTCTCCTTGCCAGCTTCTTTAATTTGGTGGGTGGTGTATAAGCTAGGTGGTTCCTTTGTGGTGGACACCCTTGTCCTCTTTTTGGGCCTGTCTGGGGATGACATGGCATGCTTGGTGCCAGATGCCTTCTGTCTGACCATCATGACAGGATATTCAGTTACTGGTCGTAAACTGACTTGATGTGGCTATGTGGGAGTTGAGATGTCACAAGTCTAAGGCTAGAAGCTACAATGTCACCTAGTTATTTGCAATAGATATACTATGAAGTGCAATGAATTCTGAGGACTAGCATAAATATGGTGCAGCTATGATGACTAGATATTTCTGGTTCTGTCTACAAAGTATCACAACTGTGCCCAGGATTGCACTGAATACACAAGGCATCTGGTTTATTCATGTACAACCACTAACAGGTTGTGTACTTACAGTTCACCTTGAAGCCATGTTAACATGCAGTGCCTGCCATTGCCCACATGATCAATGCATATGTACATTTTCTCAGTCCAACTCTCAAACCAGGCTGTGTTAGCTGATGATCTCACCTCCAGCTGTGTCATGAGCACATCAAATCCCTCTCCTGAGTGTGCTTCAGAGATCATAAATCCCCTTCCATCCTCCCCAAACCTCATTGCTGAGACTGACACTGCAATCCTCAGTACTGGCCTTCTTGCTACAGCACATCAAATCCCCCTCCTGCTGAGCATGCTTCAGAAATCACAAATCTCCTCCTGTCCTCCCCAAACCTCATCACCAAGGCTGGCACTGCAATCCTTGGCACTGGCATTCCTGCTATGGCCACCTCTCAAGAAGTTGGTGTTGTGGTGGCTGTGGCAGGGACATTCATCCTCCTTGCTTACATTGCCAAGGTACATGGTTCTGTTAATATGTGGTTACACTCATAATCATGTCCCTAGCTTATCAGTGGGCCTGATTGTGACTAGGTCAATGGCCACATTGAATGTGTCAAGACTGCTTTGGAAAACTCATGTGCTGAACATACCCAGGCTGTAAAAGACTGCATCAACAAGACCACTTTGGAAAACTTGCATGCTGAACATACCCAGGCTGTAAAAGACCACATCAACAAGACCACTTTAGAAAACTTGTGTGCCAAACATACCCAGGCTGTAAAAGTCTGCATCCACTCTGTTAAACAGATAAAGGACATCATATTGCTAACAAAGGGGTTCTTTCCTGTTTCAAAGGTCAGGGCATAGTCTCCTAGTATTTTAGATCTGATGTGACATTGCATACATAGGAAACTGCCTGGTTGGTGTGCTATGAGCAACAGCTGAAGGAGTGTGAGCAGGTTGAGCTTGCAAAAACTATCATTGCAGGGGTTACATCCAATCTCAGGGACAAGAAGATGCAGGAGATATTGGCTGATGCTGTGACAGAGCTTGAGCATAAGTCAATTGTGTTATGAGTTCTCCACAAATTACCTCTGACAATAGATGATAACAGGACTTGTGAAAAGCAAAGTGATCTAGGGAAGTTGTGGCTAGCTAGATTACTGATAGAAAATGTAGCACAGCAGCTAACTTTTTTTATCAAACTTATCCTGAATATTGATATAATTGTCCATGAAACCAGATTCACTACCTCATGACCTGCTCACTGCAATTCTCACTAGAAGGGTGCAATAAACAAATCTGATGTGAGGTACATGCATATCATCAAGTGTAATGAACAAGGATTTGTGTAACTAGTGAAAATACATGTGATTTTAATTAGGTTTCATCCTTAAAGTCAATTGTGGCACCTCATCTGTCAGCAGTGCTGATGACCCATTCCAAAGCCACCACTTGTTTACCAAATGGCAGGTGACACAAACTGCAAATATCTTCATCTTCAATGATACATTGTATCATAGGGTAGGGCTAGAAGGTGACCATCATGGGGATGTTGAGTCATACATGGTGGGAATGGAGGCTACACTTGCAATAAGCAGGAGCTGTGAGGGGATCAGCAGTCATTACTGGTAGGACTAAAGTCAATGTTGTTTATGCACAGGCTAGAGAATACATTGGAGAAGTCAGAGCTACAGGAGTGTTAATACATCAGTTGCATGAAAAAAGGATCCACTCACAATGATTGGTTGAGAGGAGGGGGTGACACTGGTAACATGGGTGAGTATTTTGAAGATGAGAGTGACATTTTTGCAGGGGTCACAGAGCCATGAGTAATGCAACTATGCAAGCAAGATAAATTACTTACAAGCTGCAGTGAGGATGGCATGAGAAAGGGATGGTTGGTAAAGTGATCAAGGCAGAATGAAAAGTTGTGCTAGGTGAATCTAGTGAAGTTAGTGACTAGTTCACTGACAGATGAATGTGACTTACATCTAGGAGAGGCGGGACTAAGGGATGGACTAGTTGGTGAGTATTGTGGAGATATGGGACTGAAGGAAAGTGGTTGCAGACTGTACTGCAGCAGCATTGGTGAGAAGGAGGGTAACATAGGTGAATACCATGGACTGGTTGTGGGTGATGTTGGGGAGTATGTCAATGATGTAGTCACTCTGCTGCTGTTGTAGTAAGGAAACATGGGGCTAAATGGATGGACTAGTTAGTGAATACTGCAGAGATGTGGGACTGAAGGAAGGCAATTGTGGATGTGCCATTTGAGATGTCAGTGAGAAGGAAGGTGATGTGGATGAATAAATACCACAGGCTGGTTAGTGAATTTGATTGACGGCAGGTGGCATTTGTTGGTGATGCAGCCACTTTGCTGCATCATAGTTGGCAGACAAGGGGCTAAAAGGATGGACTATTTGGTAAGTACTGCAGAGATGTCAGACTGAAGGGGGGTGACTGCAGACTGTACCATAGTGACATTGGTGAGAAGGAAGGTGATGTAGGTGAATACCATGAGCTGGTTGGTGAATACAATCAAGAGCTGGTAACATTGGTGAGTATGTCTGTTATGTAGCCCCCTCTGCTGCATGGGGGTTAGGGGATGTAGGGCTAAAAGGATAAGTCAGTTGGTGAGTACTGCAGAAACATGGGACTGAAGGGGGGCAATTTTGGGTACCATGGTGATGTTGGAGAAGAGGAAGGCAATGTGGGCAAACACCAAAGGTGTTTGGTGAGGTGGACATGGATGCAGCTGATGAATGGAGATGAAGACCATGGCCCTCATGTGAAGAAGGACAGCCAGAAATGTCAGCAGTCATCCCTCACACAAGAACAAGTTGTCAATGCCAAAGAAAAATGAAGGAAGCAAGTTAAGCACTGATGAAAATTCTTAAGTGCCTGTGTATGGCATTCTGGTTTTTGACATATCTCCACCAATTCTGCAGGTACTGACACCATTGCCACACTCACTTATAGTGCTCAGCCATGCGATCCTACCTTCCAAAATTGGAAAGGATTTGTGCACTCCACATGTTTCTACAGCACTCCCTCTAAAAGATGCTCATTTCACTAATTCTTCTGATATGGCCACCTCCATGTCAATCATTTCACTTGTCCCCATTGCTAGGGACCATGGCTATGTATATCTACCAGGAGTTCCTACCAGCTTCTGTCCTGAAGCATCCTGGTACATCCCATCCTCATCTGCCCCCTCTCAGCCTGTCCAGCTTGGACAGCACATTCTTTTTGTCAGTATGACCTTTAGGAGGATGCTCTTTGGTTGCCTCAGGTCTGTCATTTGCTTGGAAAGGTCTTATGTGGTCATTTCAGTCTCTCCAGTCCAAGAAGCATATGGATCCTTCCTCCCTGCTCCCTGCAATGTCTTCATACCAGTCTCATCCATCATTCTTCCAGAATTGCAACAGCTACAGTATAATCTACTGTTCTCCACTCTCCCTGATCACATCCATGGTAAGTATGATGCACATCTTGCCTCCTTGTTGCAAGATACAGCAGAAGATGCTCCCCCTTCATCCTCTCTTCCAACAGAGCCTCATTCATGAAGTTTTTATTTGCTTCACTGAGAGGATGGTTAGGGGGGGGAAAGTTGCAATCCCCTATGCTCCTGTCACCCCACAGACCCCCAAAGCTTGACATCTGACTCATCCTGTCTGCTTTTGGATGTACTATATTGGCATCAGATCAGCACTGCCTCTCTGTCATCCCACTTTGGCCCAGAAGTGATCTCTTCAACATGTGACATGCACAGCCTCCCCCTAATGTGATTCCAGTGTGCTTTCCCAGTTTCTGACATTACTTGACTCATACTTTGACATTCTGGCTGTCTTTGACTCACCTATTGCCAATACTTACCAATCTTTGACTTTGCTTACTGATTCTTTGCTTTTTGGCTTACTTATCCTTACCAATGCTCACCAATGCTTTCTAAGACAATTACCCATCACTTACATTCCTTACTCATCAGTTACCAATCACTTACCAAGCATTTGCACCTTGTTTTCCATAGGCAATGCCCCTGTACTGTATATAAATCACTGTACTTAGATAGCTGAATAAGAAGAAGATGTCAGAGAGCCCCTCTTGCTTGCAGTTTATCATCTCTCAGTAAATCATTCATCAGCTTTGGTAGTTGAGACTTTATTAAGGGTCTAACTATTGTCTACTTCACTTATTATCATCTATCACCAATCTACTTCACTCCAAGTCCTCCCTGAGCTCAGTGCAGCTCAGAGCATCAAATCAAGTCATCATCCATCCTTCTGTAGGCTGACAGTAGTTTACCCTATTGCATTCTTTCACATTCCTGCTCCTTCTTCATCAGGAGCACCCCCAACCCTCAGCACTCATCTTTGAGTGTTGCAGCTTGCAAAAACCCTCCCAAATCAAAGGTTCTACCATCTAGGTACTGCATAGGCACACCACCACTCACATTCATTGTCTTTTGTGTTGGTTTTGGTTGGTTTTCACCACTGAACCACACTTTGACTCACAGTGGGCTGGACAGTGAATATGTCAAAAGCAGGTGACATTGGGGAATATGTTGGTAATGTAACCCCTTTACTGCTGTCACATTGAATGGTGAGTTTGCACCACTATACAGCTGTAAGGCAGGTGGGTGAGTATGCATTGGGAGAACTCAATGCCAAGTAGTGGTAGTTTGCACATGAACTGTTGAAACAGCATCACATATAATATGTTTGGGGCCATCATTGAGGTGGACTGAAACAGTTCTAATATTGGCAAAATGAATGTGAGAGCCAAAAGTTGTTTACCAATGTAATGTGAACATCTTCCTCTTTGACAATAGGTGAGTGTATGTGCTCCATTGCAGGGTGCCCCAGCTAATACAATGTAAGCATGGTTTTGGCTGACATGGAAAGCTGAAATTGATTTACCAAATGGCAAATGATGCAAGTGCAAACAACAATAGGGTATGTATGTGTTCCACCAAGGAGTACCCCAGCTAAGATGATGTGGGCATGATTCTTGGTTGGCATAAAGAGTTGAAAATTAGTGACCAAATGGTGGGTGACACAAATACAAACAAAACTTCATCTTTGATGATAAAGGATGTAGGTACTCCATCAAGGAGTACCCTGGCTAAGATGGTGTGGACACAGTTTTTGGCTGGTCTTCGATGATAGGGCATATACATGCTCCATTGGGAGCTAAGACGATGTGGACATAGTTTTGGCCAGCATGGAGAGCTGAAAGTTGTTTACCAAGTGGCAGGTGATGTGAACACAAACATCTTTGTCTTCGACAATATGGGATACAATGTTCCACTGAGGAGTATCCTGGCTAAGACAGTACAGATATCATGAGACAAGGAAGCTGAATGGCCTCACAGTGTATGCATTCCTTCTACACTCTGCTGCCTGAAAAATTGAACACTCATCCATAGGATGTTGTCTTCCTCCAAGCACTCTTGCATACATCATATGTTAACCATATCAACCAGATTGTAGTCACAAGCAAGGTTGAAGCCATCTCTACCCATGGGTTGTAAGGGATGGATTGAAAAGTGCATATAATGTGCCACTCACGAGCTGATATGATGCTACAAAAAGTGTGTAGTAAGCCTGACTAGCCCTCATTCATGGGATCATCAATCCCAGCCTTGAGACACAATGTATCCTTGACCTCCACATTCTCATCTGCCAACTCCACACAAGACAATGGGGAAGATGGACAGACAGAGCCTGACACTAAGTCAGGCCTCAAGTATTCCAACATGACTGCCACAATCTCCATGTCATAGAATGGATCACCATCACTCCTCTTGCCTGATGTTGCAAGGGGTTGGATTGGAACAAAGAGCTTGTGTGTGGATGAGGACAGTGACTCGTTGAAATAGCCTGTGACTCAAAGATCACATTGCAGTCTCTCACCATTGAGATTGCCTGGCAGCTGGGTATGGTGGATGATGGGGCAGGGTGGATGTGTTTATAATCACAGAACTTACCTGTATAAGTGCATGTGCAGCCACACCAGCATGAGCATCTGCCAATCTGGACTGAATGACATCCAGTGGCCAGTTAAGGTGCTG